CTCTGACCAGAAATCAGGTCTCCATTTAAAGTCACACCTTGACAAGTGGATTAGATGTTCTAGTGAAAGGCAGATAAATGTCACTCATGTCACTAAAGAAAAGTCAGGGCTGGCTTATCAGCTTGTAGGGTTGAGGTCTTACCTTCGACACTTCTCAGAGTGCTTTACACTTTATTATCCATTAACTGGGGTCTTTTCCATTGAGACTCTTCCATTTGTACCACAGAGGGAATTACACTGCTCACTCTTAGGAATATGTGACTTCTGACAACAGCCTGTCTTCCTTTAAGAGACAATACAACCTGTGGCCTTAAATGGAAATCTTCCAGAATTTCCTCAACTGTCATATTACAGAAGGAAATGGAGTAGGCTCCTTTCATTGTACTGAATGTAGGACATCTTGTATCTGCTTTACCAGCAAATCATGTTGTAGCAGGCTCTGATCATATAACTCCGAGTTTAGACTCAAGCATAAGATTTGTCATCGAAATCTATGTAATACCAAGTGTGGATTTAGGTCTGTTTTTATCTTATCTTTCTCCCCGAAACCTAGTACATGCAGCCAAACTTACTAAATGTTAGTAGCAGGTACCGACCTCTATATATATAGCCTCAGTTCTCAAAGCAGCTAAGGAATGCAACTGTTTTGCAAACAGTAATCTCACTGGCAGAAAGATTTAGAGATTGGCTGCCAAAGAGGCTTTAAGGTGACCACAAAATGCAGTCTGCTTGGTTACAAATGCCTGGCTATTCCACAAAAGAATCTTTCTCACAAACTTTAGACTACACTACTCATTGTTACGTTTTCTTGTGGCTGGGGATACGATATGGTTTTAGTTGACTTAAGATGTGAGCAGAAGCTGGATGATGGTGGCACACTCCTTTGATCCCAGCACTCAGGAAGCAGAGGCAGGCAGATCTCTGTGAGTTCAAGGCCAACCTGATTTACAAATCCAGTTCCTGGATAGTCATGTCTATACAAAGAAATCCTGTCTTGAAAAACCAAAAAATGTGAGCTTTAGCGGTGGAACCTTAGAATTGAATAATATTTCTGATTATACTATCAATGTATCCTTACTGGAGCTTTAAAATGCATATTTTAATTATCTACATTTCTATATTACACTTCTGTCCTTGTGTTTCTGAGCTACATTGTAAAGGCTAATGAGGCTAGAATTGTATATAAACAAACATGTTCTGAATGCTTGCTCACCAACATCCTTTTTACTTTTGTCTTTGAAGTACACTTGGAGATTATGGTGGTTAATCTTCACTTTCATGCTGACTAGATTTAGAATCGACTAGGAGATTTACCTCCTGGATGGCCTGTGAGGCTGATTCCTGAGTGGTTTAGCTAAGGAGAGAAGACTCCTCTTACATGTGGATAGCACCATGCCAAAAAGCTGAGGGCCCAGCTGGAATAAAGAGGAAGGGAGGTGAAAGCCCATTGGGCGAGGACATTCATCTCTCTCTCTACTTCCTGCCCTGCCCAGATGGCAGTGATACCCCAAGAGAAAGCCTTCTCTACTGTGATGGACTATGATGCCTCTAACTATAAACAAAATAAATCCTTTCTCCTGTAAGTTGTTATCAGGATTTTGTCACAGCAATGAGAAACAGGCTGTGTACAGAGCACTGGACTGAGAAGTGGAGCCCTGAGTGATAAACCTGACCTGTGGAACCAGATGTGGGAATATGAGAGCACGAATAATAAAAACCCAGAGAAGATATTAGGGTTCAATCTGAAGATCAGAAAAGCAAAAACAACCAACCATTAGAGAGACCTTTTACCTCTACCAAATCTTCAGACCGAAAGGGCGAGAGCCTGTCTTCAAGAACAAACTTCACACTCCTTTGTGTCTCTTCCCCTTTATATCCTTCTCTCCACTCAGCCATAGCACTCCTGTCTCCACCTCCCTAGTGCTTTGTGTGAGCTCTGTTTCTCTTTCAGACAGATTCAATCTTGTGTGTAGTCCAGGGTGGCCTTGAACTCACAGAGATCCCACTGCCTCTGTCTCTGGGATTAAAGGTGTATGCCACTCCCTGGCCTGTATGACTGACTAGTAAGGCTGTTTTGCTCTCTGATCTTCAGACAAGCTTTATTTATTAAAACACAAATAATATACCACTATAGAACTTGACTTCATTTTGTCCGTGTCCTAAAAACTTGAGCAAACCTGAATGAAAAAGTGATGGATTAAGTTATTGGGTGGAGGAAATCCCAAGACAGCATAGCATTCAGGCTGTGACTCAGTTTACCACTTACTGTGCTATCTATGCTTATACTGAGAGAGTAGAGATAGGAAAACAATGTGCAGTTTGGTGAATAAAGGAGTACAAACAAGATTAAAGGAACAGACAGGGAGGGGTGCAAAGTTCTGTAATTCCTAAAGTACTTAGCACAATTAAGGAGAACCGTGAGCCATGGGCAAAGTAACGCAAACAACAATAATGACTACAGATTATTTTAGGTTGTGAAGAACATTTAAAATGGAGCCTGAATATGTCAAAACCCTAAAAATCTGAAAGACAACCTTTGGATAGGTTCCAGAAACAGAAACTAGTAGTTCCCTTTTCTAGCTTTATGTTCTAAAATACAACTTTTCAATATCTTTAACCGTTAGGCCTCTTTGTACTTGTCTTTTCCCCAGTGTTTATTGTATGTTCAACAGTGTTTTGTCTGCATATATGTCTATGTGAGGGTGTCGATGACCTGGAGCTGGAGTTACAGACAGTTGTGAAGCTGCCATGTGGGTGCTGGGAATTGAACCTGTGTCCTCTGGAAGAGCAGTCAATGCTCTCAACCACCAAGCCATTACTCCAGCTCCTTTATACTCTTGAAAAGTATTACATTTTTCAAAGCACTTTGTTTAGATTTATTTTGGTATCATGATAAACCAAACTGGAGAACACATCCTTGTCTCCAAGAAACTATGTTCTATTAAAAAGTCACTTTTTGTCACGCATGGTGATTCATGCCTAGCACTCGGGAGGCAGAAGCAGGCAGATCTCTGTGAGTTTGAGGAGACTATGATCTACATAGCGAGTTCTGGGTCAGTTAGGACTATATAGTAAGACTCCAGATCAAAAAATAAAAATAAATAGCATATCTATATAAATATTATATAAATATAAATAAAATATGTCATATGTATGAGTGGTTTCCCTCCATGTTTGTCCATATAGCAGGTATGCTTGATGCTCTAGGAGGCCTGGGAGTGTCAGACTCCTTGGAACTGGAGTTACAGACAGCTGTGAGCCATCATGTGGGTGTTGAGTACTCTGAAAGAGCAGCCGATGTTCTTAACCACTGAGCCATCTCTCCTGCTGCAGAACTGTGTTCACATTTCCTGTTTTTGCCCAAAGTTTAGTAACAGTCCAAAGACTCATTTTATTTCTTCCTTATGTTTTGATGATTTTATTAGATAACAAAATCTCTACTTTTTCTGAATATGTTATCTTATTATGACCTGGAAAATTCATTTGAAATCTAATTAGATGCAATGGTGAGAGATTTTCCTTAAATTGTTATGCAATTATTGCTGTGTCTCATACTGATATTCGATACAGCAATACTTAACTCTTCCTAAATTAATGTTTAAATGAGTAAAGAAAATAATCCATTTAATTGTGTTATTTTCATTTTCCCCTTTTATGGCTCCAAGGATATGTAGATCTTTTTTATGTGTGGGTGTTTTGTCCACATGTCTATTTGTATACCACATGCATACAGTGATCATGAAGGCTGAAAGAGGGAATCGGACTTCTTGGAATTGGAGCTACACATGATTTTTAGCTACCTTGTGGGTTCTGGGGACCCAGCCTAGGTCTTTTGAAAGAGCAATAAGCTCTCTTAATGCTGGGTCATTTCTGCAGCCCCAAGATTGTGGATCTTAGATAGTTAGTAAGTTGATTTGCATCTAAGCCTGACAGAGACAATGCTATGGGTTCAACCAATCCTAGTTCCTTTCCTATTCCTGAGTACTCAAGATGACTACTTTGCCTGGTCTTCTTCTGCACTTGGGACCAACATGTTTGGGCCTAGTGAATGTAAGTACTATAAGCTACCACTAAGTATGGCCCTTAAAAAATCCGGCTCAGTCCCTTCTTCCTCAACTTTGCCTTTGTAGAACTGTCTCAGTTACTTTTCTATTACTGCACTAAAATCCCATGACCAAGGCAATTTAGAAAGTGCTTAATTAGACCTATGGTTTCATAGAGTTAGAGTTCATGATGACAGAGTATGGTGGAAGGAACAGCTGAGAGTTCACATCTTGATCCACAGGCAGGAGGCAGGGAAAACTGGGAATAGTACGAGTCTTTGAAACCTCAAAGCTTGCTCCCAGTGACACACCTCCTTCAACAAGGTCATACCTCCTAATCTTTCCCAAATAGTCCTACCAACTGGGAACCCACTATTCAAACACATGGGCCTAGGAAGGCCATTCTCATTCAATTCATCACAAGAATCAAAGATGAAAGAAACAAGATCTCCAAGTCACTGTGAGGATTAACATTATGTTTTAACTGCAAATTACTGTGCTTAAGATTTATGGGAAAAAAAATACCTCTAATCTGTGAGTCTTGCTTGCCCAAGGACAAATCATTTCCTGGAATGTTGCTCATATAAGATAACAAGTCACATGTTTTTGCTTTTGTTTTTTTTTAAATTTATTTATTTATTTATTAAAAATTTCCACCTCCTCCCCGCCTCCCTTTTCCCTCCCTCTGCCCCTCTAGTCCTAAAAGCAGTCAGGGTTCCCTGCCCCACGGGAAGTCCAAGGTCCTCCCCCCTCAATCCAGGTCTATAAAGGTGAGCATCCAAACAAACCAGGCTCCCACAAAGTCAGTCCATGCAGTAGAATCAAAACCCAGTGCCATTGTCCTTGGCTTCTCAGCCTTCATTGCCAGCCACATTCAGAGGGTCCAGTTTGATCACATGTTCCATTACTCCCAGTCCAGCTGGCCTTGGTGAGCTCCGATTAGATCTGTCCCACCGTCTCAGTGGGTGGACGCACCCGCCGTGGTCCTGACTTCCTTGCTCATGTTCTCCCTCCTGCTCCTCATTTGGACCTTGGGAGCTATGTTTTTGCTTTTGTAAACAAACCTGGTTGGACCAACTGTACAGGATGTGCTTGATCACATGTAGGTGGGTGATACATAGGCAGGAAGTATGTCAAGATGTATGCTTGCCCCTGATTGGATGAAGACAAAAAATACATAGCCTTGTGGGTTTTGCCTTTATAAATCTCTAACTTACATAATTTGGTGCCATACTATGGTGATCCTGGGTATGTATCTGGTCAGTGCCCATCATTCTGAGTATTTAATAAAGCTTACTTCAAATTTGGCTCAAAAATTGTAGTAGTGTTCTTGTTCTTGCCTGTTTGGGATTTACTTCACCATAAGAAGACCCACCCTGGAGCTTGGCCTCACAGATGACAAATGCAAACTTCAGAATCATTTGTCCTCGCAACAAATCATACCTTCATCCTCATACAATGTCAGAACCTCTAGCACCTCAAAATGTGAATGTATTTGAAGACAGGTCCTTTAATGAGCTAATTAAATGAGGCTATTAGGTCTTAAGCCATTATGTTTGACCTCCTTAATTAAAAACAGGTGTTTGATGCCAGTTGAAGTAGAGCATACATGTAACCCTAGCAACTGGAGGCTAATACAAGAGGATTTCAAGTCTGAGGTCTGCCTGGGCTATACAGTGCTGTGGGAGAACTGTTTGCAGTGCCACTCTGCTGTGCCAATAAAGTTTATCTTGAATTAGAGGGCGGAGCTAGCTACTAGCTGACCAAAATTAGACGTAAAAGTTTTGGAGGACCTAGGACATATAGGAAGTAGTATCAAGGGTTTAGGAAGATGTGCAGCCTTTTGGATGGAGGAAAGAGAGAGAGAGAGAGGTTGTCACTGGTTGCTTCTCCACTGCTTCTCAGATCAATCAGGTTTGACTCCCGAGCTTCTATTAATAATAAAATGATCTAGATAACTGTATCTTTAAAAAGTCTCTGAACTGAACTCACACAAGAAGGAGGCTGAAACGAAGTTATAGAAAGAAAAGGGCCAAGAAGAGTCCGTAGAAGTGATAGTGTACCTTGGTCTTGGACTTTTTTTTTTTTAATTATTTATTTATTATGTATACAACATTCCTTCCATGTATGCTTGCATGCCAGAGGAGGGCCCCAGATCTCATTATAGATGGCTGTGAGCCACCATGTGGTTGCTGGGAATTGAACTCAGGACCTCTGGAAGAACAGTCAGTGCTCTTAACCTCTGAGCCATCTCTCCAGCCCCGGTCTTGGACTTTTGAAACTGTGAAGGTTGAAGAAAAAGTGACTGCTTTAACTTCAAGGGACTATTGCAGTTGGGGGCTAAAAAGATGATGGAGTGTTAAAAAGAGCACAGAAGAACACATTACCCACACCAGGAAGCTCATAATCTGTAAGAGCAGCTCCGCGGTCTCTGGGGGCAGCCATGTGCACAAACCCCTCCCTACACATATATAATTAGGATTCTTTTCAAAGTCTTAAGAAAAATGAGACTAGATTGCAGCTGGGCATGGTGATGTATGCCTACAATCCCAGGATTTAAGAGGTGGAGGGAAGAGGATCAGAAGTTGTAGTGGCATTTCATTTGTATTTTAATAAAGCTCGCCTGTGGATCAGAGAGTAAAACAGTCATACTGACCGGCCTTATAGACCAGGCAACAATGACATATACCTTTAATTCCAGTAGCCACACTAGCTTGCCATAGAAACCAGGTGGTAGTGGTGCATGCCTTTAATCCCAGAACTAGAGAGGATTGCTTATAAGACAGGAGGAGACAGCTCTCAGTCTCATTCTGAGATTCCTGGAGGCAGGATTGCCATTTTGGACTTAGGTAGAGGTAAGAGCCAGTGGCTGGCTGTTTTGTTTTTCTGACCTTCAAGTTGAACCACAATTTCTATCTTTGAGTTTTTATTAATTGTGCTTCAAAAAGTTCAAGGTCACTCTTGGCTGCAAAGAGATTTTGTGGCCAGCCTGGGCTACATGAGACTGCCAAAACAAAACAAAGAAGACTGTAGTGTGGAGATATAACCTAGGTTAAACTGACAAGGATCAAGAAAGAAGGCATTCAATGATCTAGAAACCACTAGTAGGCAAAGACAAAATATTCCCTATGATAGTAACAGTGTTGAACCTTTTGGGGTCTATTTTTCCCCCAACCTCCCCACCCTACCTCCAGAGAGCTCACTGATCCTATCCTTCCAGATTTGGCTTTGCCCCCACTTCACTGACAAAGTCCCCAGAGAAGCAGGAGTGTTCATGTTGCTCTGATAGGGACTGTGGTAGTTTTGCATTCTTTAACCTAACTATTTGCTGTTGCTTTTGATTTTTGGTTTTCTTGAGACCAGTTTTCTGGTTGTCCTGGAACTTACCCTGTGGACCAAGCTGGCTTCTAACTTAGAGATCCACCTGCCTCTGCATCCTGAGTGCTGAGTTAAATGTGTGCACCTCCACCGCTGGCCAGAATAACTGTTTTTTAAGAGTCGCCCTTACTAGGCCAGTGAGAAGACTCATCCGATGGTAAAGGTGGTTGTGGTTGTGGCAAAGCCTGAAAACTCGAGTCTGAATCCAGGGATCCATACGGTAGGCTAACTTGTCCTTTGACTTCCATATATTCATTGTGACATGTGCTCCTCCTCAAATAAACAAACAAACAAACAAGTAAGTAAGTAAATAAATAAATAATAAAAGTCGCCTTTATTGAGTCATATTATGAAACATATATTCTTATGGCAGTTTAGTAAAACTTTTAGCTGCTGAAAAATCTAGATTTTTAAGGTACAACAAAAGCTGAATATCCTGCTTTACATATTACCCTTTGCTTTGATGGAATTCAGATGCCAGTTGAAAGCTTTCCTCTGGCCATGAAATCCAGGTTTGCAGACGTCTACAATCTGCTTCAACATTCCTGTGCATTTCCAACATTCCTGTGTATTTCCAACACTCAAATTCTTGTCACCTCTTCTGTTGCCTCCACTTGTAATAACAGACCACAGAGATGCAACTCGGCTTCTTCCTCAATTTATACAAGACAAATTCAAGCTTGAGTGGTGTGGGACAATTGTCTATGTTCTGTCAATTATGTTTTAAATAAATGTTGATTGGCCAATAGCCAGGCAGGAAGTATAGGTAGGACAACCAGACAGGAAGTAGAGGTGGGTCAATGAGAACAGAATTATGGGAAGAAGGAAGCTCTCTCTGCAGTCCTGTCCAGACACCGAAAAAGGAAGATGTGACCTGCCCCGCTGAAAAAGGTAGCGAGCCATGTGGCTAATATATACAAGAATAATGGGCTGATATAAGTTATAAGAGTAAATAAGAAGCCTCAGCTAATGGGTCAAACAGTTTATCATTAATATAGACCTCTGTGTGAGGGCATAACGGCTGTGGGACCTGGTGGGAGGACAGAAACCAGGCAGGACAGAAACCCCAACAAGCAGGCCCTCATGTTACACTTGAGTAGTAAAAGACTTCAGAGGACACATGGGGCTGTAGAAAGTATCATCACACTTAGTCCACAGCCTCCTGCCACCATCTGGACTCCATCTCATTATCTTCTTCACTTCTTTTTTCTGAGTGCTGAACATCCAAATTTTAAAGAGATTTATTTTTATTGTTTAGTGTATAAATATCTGTGCATCATGCACATGCCTTGTGTCTGAGAAAAGAGGACACTGGATTCCTGAAATTGGAGTTATGGATGGTTGTGAGACACCATGTGGGTATTGGGAACTGAACCTAGGTCCTCTGCAAGAGCAGTTAAGTGCTCTTAACTGCTGAGCATTGCTTCAGCCCCCAAATGTTCAGTTTTTCTACCTCTTCTATGTAAATAAATTGATTATTTCACTACGTAAGTGAATGGGCTTTTTAGCTCCCCAAATTCTGCAACTGGTTGGTTAGGACAAGTCTTTACAATAGACAGAGGCTTAGCACAAAATAGCTTAATGTAAAAGTGCTTTTTGGGGGTGGAGGCTCATGTATGTAATCAACAGACAAACATACTATATTAATTACTTTTCTATTGCTGTGATAAACACCAAAACCGAGGCAGCTTAATAGAAGGGTTTATTTGTGCTTACAGTCCCAGAGGGAGAAGAGTCCATCACCATCAAGGTTGGGAAGCATGGCAGCCAGCAGGCATGGCAGCCAACAGGCACAGTGGCAGCTGCCACAAAAAGCAGAGGGCTCCCACCTGCTGAGAGCTCCCACCTTCAACTGCAAGTATGAAGAGAGAGAAAACTGGAAATGGTGCCTAGCTTTTGAAACTCTCATAGTCCTTTCCAGTAACATACTTATGTCAAGAAAGTCATACTGATAAGTATTGGATTTCTGTTTATTGGGCTTCTCTGTCTATGAAGTAAGCCACATTAGACCGAATTACTAAGACCAGATTTAATAAACAGAGCCAAGCAAAGCAGAGCACTAATGGGTGACTTTCAGAAAGGCAGGAGAGGAATCACAGGGCAGGTGTGGTCTTGAGCAGTTCCTGGGGAGGAGCTGACCCTTGGCCGGCTTTCTGAGGTGCAGGATCTGGAATGGGAGTAGTGAGACCTGAGCAGAGATTCCCAACACATACCTTGTAAGCCTCTCCAAAAATTGTCACCAACTGGGGACCAAACATTCAAATACCTGAGATTATGGGGGACATCTTATACAAACTACATTTATCAACCAAATTACAAGGGAAGGTTTTTAGCTGGGTCTCAAAAACCCCTGGAACTGGTCTTACAACTGTTCCTCCTATTGTAGACTAGCAGAAGTTTCCTTATTTTTCCTGTTTTTTGCAATAGGGTCTGACTCAGGCTAGCCTCCTGCTTCTTCAACCTCTTCAGTGATATAATTACAGGTCCCTGCCTCATTGCCAGACCAAGAAATTTCAATGCTTATCATTTTATACAGCTTTAACTTTCTTTACATTTCAAAACTCAAAACGATCTGTGATGGACTCTCCTGGGCTCAATATAGCAAGCTGCTTGCTCCTACCCAACTGCCTACAAATTTGTGTTCTTACGAAAGCATAGCGCATCCCAGGGGAACCAAACTCTCAAGAAGGGCTATTTCCAATTAAAATGAGAAATTTCATCATAGATAGAATATTCTAGGATTTTTATTTTTTACTATCCTTAAATTAAACATGGGTTAACTACCTAAGTTCCATGCTAGAATTTAAATCAAGTCATTGAATCACTGAGGAAGGGGCAAGATTTACTGCCTGACAGGAAGCAGAGAAACAGGCTTCTTGAGGTGAGCCTTTGGGATTGAGTGTGATTTGTCAGGCCAAGAGGGGATTCGGGGAAGAGAGACTTCCAAGCTTGAACAAATGGACACAAATATCCCCTTTCATACTTCTTCTTTCATATGCTGAGGGAAAATATTTGAAGCCACCAGAAAACAAGGGATAAAAATATCATGTTGGTTTGAGGACAGAGGATTAAACGATCCTTGCTTGACGGGAAATGTAAGCTTTACGAACAAGTAAGCAATTTAACCCTTTGGCAACCTGACTTTATCTGTTAAGTGTTACAAAAATGGTTCAGCAGGACCACAGGAAGGGTGGAGTTGTTACACTTCCTGCAACAGGCCAACAGGCCTTGCTTCAAGGTCAGGCTGTTACCGCCCTTACTACAAACACAAACACACTCTCCCAAAAGCAGCCCCTTTCAGCTTTTCCTTTCTAGTCTGCTGCCTGCCCTGAATCTGTTTTTCTGTTTGGAGACTTCTTTCCCTACCAGAGTCACCAGCCTAACACAGCCAGCCAGCACTGAAGGCTCAAATAAACAAGACAATTCTTCAGTTCCTTGCCTTAGCACATTGTAAGTCCTTAATAAATGATAGAGCATGGCACTAGCAAGTGTTGATACACGGAGTAGAGCGGCAAGGTTCAGCAAATTCTTGCTAGACTCTGCACCTATTTAAAGTGACTTGTTGGGCTGAGAAATGGCTCAGCAGTAAAGAATTCATGCTGCTCTTCCAAAAGAGCAGAATTCGATGCCCGGCACCCACATCAAACAAATTATGGCTGTTTGTAACTCCAGTTCCGGAGAATCTGACGCCTCTGGCCTCCACAGGTTCCAGCACTCATGCACATACCCACACGCAGACATACACACATACACATAATCAAAAATAAATCTTGAACATTTTTAAAGTTGCTTATGCAAAGCAGATTTTTTTTAATTGTAAAATATCCTATGATGTTTTTTCATAGTTCTGCCAGGTACCGTAGCATCAAAATGAGAGAAACAAGGAAATGGAAACTAGAGCGCAGCCCAAGACTGATTTTTGCGAAAGGAAGCGAGACAGGCCACGCCTTTCGAAAAATCGTAACTACACCGGCAAGAGCCTGCTACCGCAGGCCTGCTGTGCCACGCGCCCCGGGACTACTGCGGGCGAAGACGTAAGCCCGGAGCCTAGCTCTGGAAGGCTCGATCTTAGAACGCCGCAAGCCAGGCCTTACCATCCCGCCACACAGTCTGCCCAAACCAGCCACAACTTGTGCCGTCTAGGAGCTCCTTCCACTTAGCCGAGCTCCTTTCCCGGCTTCCCCCGCGGTGGGGCGTGACGCCACTTCCGGTCCCTGACCGCACGTGGGAGGAAGTGTCGGTGCCCGCGCCCGCTGCTCCTGCCAGTCCCGTTGGTTACACTAGCCCGCTGGCCCGGCCGCTGCCCCGTGCCGCCCGCTGGTCATGGGAGTCCCGGCGTTTTTCCGCTGGCTCAGCCGCAAGTATCCGTCCATCATTGTCAACTGCGTGGAGGAGAAGGTGAGGAGGCTTTCATGACGCCGCGGTGGGGATCCGGCGCGGCACGTCTAGGCCGCGGCCCTAGGAGCCGGGCGCCTGCCCCAGGCAGCCTCGCGGGCCGCTCCGTGGATTCGCGGTTCCGGAGACGGTCAGGGCAGAGCGAGGAAGAGTGGGGGCGTCCATGGGGGCTTGGGCGGCTTCTTCCCCGCCTGCCAAGCCGGACACCCTGGTCTCTGTCCACGGCTTTGTTTCCTTGACTGCCCGCGCAGCTCAGGGCTCGGAAGGGCGCCCGGGCTGGGTAGACCCCTGACGCGGGCTGCAGGGATGGCAGGATGGGGACCGCTTGCTGGTCCACACGCGTATTGTTTCCGGTGGCCGGATCGCGTGTTTTTCACCCGAGCCTGGCCATTTGTTGCTGTCAGAGTGGCTAGTTCCGAAGGACTGGGACGGGGGAGCCGTCGGTCGCCCGAGCGGGCTCCACTGTAGGGCTGCGGAGCAGCTTGCAGTTTCACTTTCCGGATTCTCAAGTGGTGTTAGTTTACTAGTTTGCGGGTAGGCTTTTAGCCGTTCCTATTCGTGGGTTTTGCTTTCATCGTTCCCATGGTTCTGTCTGAGTTCGACTTTGTACTCAGTTAGAATTTCTGGATTGGAAAAGTTCCGTACACATGTGTCCCCTCCCACTTTTGGCTTTAGAACCTACTACTCTCCTGTCTTTAAGAACCTATTTCTCCTGCTTTAGGTTATTTGCTCTCTCTCTCTCTCTCTCTCTCTCTCTCTCTCTCTCTCTCCCTCTCTCTCTCTCCCTCTCTCCCTCTCACACCCTCTCACCTCCTGTCTTAGAAGAAACCACACGCATTGTTTTGGTGACATTCCTAGCATTTCTTGTGTTCTCAAAAGACAAGTTGCTAAGCTTGTTTCCTTTGTAAAACTTGATGTTTCTCTGGGCCAAAGGGAAAGCAACAGTTCCTTGTTCCGTCCTTTCCGGTCTGGTCTTCCCTTTAAAGACAGTCACTTTGAACTGTTTTGACTCTATTTCTCACTGTGTTTATATTTGGTTTATGGGTCTCAGGTCTATCTAATTCTAGGTGGAAGAGGAATTAGACATTTATTCACCACCACTCTGCCTTCCTAATGCTAATACACATATCTCACATATCTGACAATGATAAATTTTGTAATTTAACCGAGAATGCCTTTAAATTTTTATTACGCGCATGCCTTTACCCCAGCATTCAGGAGGCAGAGACAGGCTGATCTATGAGTTCCAGGTCAGCCTACTCTACGTGGGAGTTCAAAGCAAACCAATCTACATAAGCGTTCAGAGCAAACCAAGGCTTACATGTGAGACCCTCTCTCAAAACAAACAAAAATTCTGTCGCCTTTATAAAGTATCATTTTACTAGTGTCTGTAGCCTATACAAAGTATCCTTTTCTAGTTTCTAAGGCTGATGTTAGCTTTTTCTCCTCAAACAGTCGTAACTTCGATCAGCTGTACATTAGCTCTTGTTCCATATGAGCTGCGAGAGAAGTGGTCTTGCTGACTGTTATGTATGTGATTAGTTTAGGTTGCTTATCTTTTACCCAAATTGGCCCCTCCAATTTCCTCATATTTCACCCCTCTTACCTTTCCCCATGCAAATTATTTTATCATGCATTCTGTCAAGTCCTTTTGTTCATTAAGCTTCTTTAATTTTTCCTTGGATGAAGAATCTCAATGCTTAGCCACAAACTCCAGACTCTCGGATTACCATGTACACTGCCACTCCCAGCTTGTCTTTATGTCTGTTTTCTTCACAGCAGTTTTTTTCAGTATGCTTCCTGGAGGTGATTCCTGGGAATTACTGTTTCCTGAATTTTAACTTTCTTGGCTTAAAGTGGCCTTTCCTTTTTGGTTTTGAATTGAATTCTTAGGAAATGCCACTGTGTGTCATCTGAGTTTTCTGTTCTGAGTTTTCATTTTAGGTCCCAAAATACCCTTATTCTCCTCATGATTGAGTCCAAGTTGGAAACCCAGTTCCCATGAAGACGTTGGAACCATTCTTTTCAGCTATTATTGTTGATGAAAAGTTCAGTTTTAATTTTCCTTTTTTAGACACTGTCTTACTATATAACTCTGGTTGGCCTGGAACTCAGAGATCCGCCTGTCTCTGCCTCCCAAGTGCCAGGATTGAAGGTGATGGCTACTAGGCCTGACTGTTTATGTGATATTTATTTATTTAAGTAAGTTTTTGGTAGCATTTACAATGTACCAGACACTGAACACTATTGATAATAGGTTGATAGGTGCTTATAACAAACAGACAATAACTGTCAGTACCAATATGAAAACTAGGAAAGCCATGCTTCTGATGTGCGACCCTCCCATTTCATTCTTTGGAATTGATCAGTTTTTTTACTTTTCATTGTGCCTTTTGCACATATTTGCACATTTAGATACCAGTTGTCCTTCCTTACAGTGTCTTGCTCCTCTCTTGCTCATCTTTATTCCCAACTAGTTACCCTCCTACACTGACTTTGTGTGAATTGGTCAGTTTTATTAGTGTTTAGAAGAATGTGGGTGAGAGTTTTTTTTTTCTCTCTTCTTATTTTTTGTTTTTCAAGACAGTGTTTCCCTGTGTAGCTCTGGCTGTCTAAAACTCATTCTGTAGACCAAGCTGACCTGGAACTCAGAGATGTTCCTGCCTCTGCCTCCCAGGTACTGGGGTTAAAGGTGTGTGCCACCAGTGCTTGGTGAAAGTTTTTGGGTGTGTATGTATGTGTGTGTGTGTAACATGAGGGCCGGCTTGTTGGGGTTTCTGTCCTGCCCGGTACCCCACAGCTGGCAACTCCCAACGAAAATCACAGACAGAACTCCATAAGGTTATAAACTGATTGGCCCATTAGGTCAGGCTTCTTGTTAACTCTTATAACTTATGTTACCCCATTATCCTTATCTACATTAGCACATGGCTCAGTACCTTTTCCAACAGGGCAGCTTACATCTTTCCTCTCTGGTGGTCTGGGCAGAACTGACAGAGGGATCTTCCTAGAATACTCCAGCCTCTTTGTTCCACCTCTACTTCCTGTCTGGCTTTCCTGCCTGTACTGCCTGCCTGGCCAATCAGCGTTTTATTAAAATATGATTGACAGAATACAGATAATTCTCCCGCACCAGGTGTGTGTGCAGACATGCGTGCACCCTGGACAGGAGTGGAGGGACAATAACATGTGTGCCTTGGCATGTGTATGGAGGTCAGAGGACAACTTTGTGAACTCGGTTCTTTCCTTCTAAGCAAGTACCTTAGCCCAGTTGAATTTGTGGTTGACCCCTCCTAATAGTCTTCATGGCTCATTGGCGTTCATGTTACATAGTTAGACTTTGAGACTGATATTGTTGCATTGTGAAACAGTAGATCAAACTTTTCAGGAACTCAGGATCCTTTCTACTGGGTGCTGGGATTATAGGCATGCACTACTGTGCTCAGCTTCATTACAGTTTTAAAAAATATATATTTGTTATATTAATGAATTTCATTACCACATTCTCATGTGTTTATGTTATGTATTCTGCTCTTCTTTATTTACTCCCTCCCATTACTTTCTTCCGGCACAAGTCTGGAATCCTCATGAGAGAATGCATGCATTATTTGTCTTAGCCTGCTTGTTTAGCATAATAATTTCCAGTTCCATCTATTTTCCTGCAGATGACATAATTTCAGTCATCTTTGTGGTTCAATAATACTCCAGTGTGTGTATGTACACATCTTTCTGTATACATGGAACTCCTAGGCAATTTTTTTTTATAAACTGAATACTGGCTATTAAAAATAGTGTCTCAATAAATATGGATATGCAAATATTTCTGTTCTGTGCTGTCTTTGATTTCTTCTAGTATATATTCAGAAGTGGTACAAAAGCTAAATCATGTCATATGGTAATTCTACCTTTTTCTTTTGTTTACTTTTTACTTTTTTTTTTGAGTAATCTCCATACTCTTTTCCATAAAGACTATAGTTAATCATTTTTCCTCTAGCAATGTGTGTCTCCACTCCCCAGTATCTTTGCCAGCTTACGTTGTTTGATTTCTTTATGATAACTATTCTCACTGGGGTGAGATTCATTGTAGTTTTGATTTACATTTCTTGATGACCAAGGATTTTTTTTTTTTGTATTATCGACAACTTTATCTTATTGTGTTTCAAGACAGGGTTTCTCTGTGTAACAGTTCTGGCTATCCTGGAACTCATTTCATATACCAGGTTGGTCTCAAACTCACAGAGATCTGCCTTCCTCTGCCTCCCAAGATATGTGCCACCCTGCCCAGCCACCACTTTAGTTTTTTAAAGGTCTTATTTAACTTTCCTGTTTATTAATTAGATTTCGTGTATGTGTGTAAAAACTTTCAGTTCTTAATGGCCTGTCAGAGGAATAACTATCAGGGATGTTTTTCATTCTGTGTACTTGCTCATCACTAGTTGCTCGGTTTTCTATACAGAGATTTAATTTCATTCATTAATTTTTTAAAAATTTATTTTTATTCACGTGTTTCTTTGTATGAGTGCCCTCTCAGGCCACAAGAGGGCATTCGATTTCCTCTAGAGCTGGAGTTACAGGTAGTTGTGAGTCGCTTCCTGTTGGTGCTTGGAACAAGAGCAACAAATGCTCTCAACCTCTGAGCTGTCTCTTCACCCTCTCATTTGTCTGTTTTTTTCCCCTATAATTTCCTGGACAATTAGAACCTTTGCTTCTGTGTTTATCATAAAATGTCTTCTTATATTTTCTTTTGTTATTTGTAGAGTTTCAGATCTAGCATTTAAGGTTTTGTTCTATTTTGAATTTATTT